AATGGCGATGGTAGTCGATCAGCAAATTTATCGGCTAACTGTTTAGCTAGTTTTAACGTTTTTTCTTTTATTATTAATTCTGGTCTCAATTGAGATAACAACACAATTCGTGGACTTCTCATTCCTGATAGTCGGTTTTTGATATTATCAACTAATTCAGCCAAAAATGGTAAATAAACATGATCGCGATAATATTCCTCGGGGTCTGTTATTGTTATCTGTTTTTTTTTAAGTGCAACAATAGAATGACGCGGAATACATGGTGTAATAAATAATTCTGTACATAACTGATCTGAATGTTGATAAATAATATTATGAAAATAATCTGGAGCATCAATTTTTCGTTTTTGAAATGTGTCTAATAGAATATCAACGTATCTATTAGCAGCACCAAAATCTAGCGTTGGTGTTTGTAATAATCGACTCAATGGAACAATTTCTGATAATACAAAACACGATAAACAAGTGGAAATAATATGTTCAAAATTAGTAATAGCGTGATATAGTTGTTCTGCACTATCATCTTTCAATTTTGCAGAACGATAACGATCTAGTGTATTAACAACAGGTAAATATAATTCAAGAAATGTTTCAATTGATGTATTACGATCAACCCAACGAGTGTCACACAATGAAATTAATCGTTTCTTTTTCGATAATTGTATATAATCACCTTCATTCTCGGTTATTTCTGATCGCAAAGCTGCCATTCGTTTCGGCGACTCTTTGAAAAACTTAATTATATGTCTGATTGTACCCATCATATTACGTATTTGAGTAAAACTACAAGTGTCTATTAATGCTAAATTTAAACAATGATTACTACAATGCATGTATTCAGCATCTTTACAATATTTCTTAATAATTGCTTGACAACCTTTATAAAAACCAGACATATTTGAGGCACCATCGTACGCTTGTCCTACACAATTGTCAAGTGGTAAACTATAACGTTTTAAATAATCAAGAATTATATTAGCAATTGATTCACCCGTACATGGTTCTCAAAAGATACTCTGAAAACCTTCTAGAAGTCCCAGTTCTATGTCCGTTGAATTCGACGCAGTTTTTCATCTATGTTTGTAATTTTTAACTAAATTAGAGAACTCATATGGTTTTCGGGAAAAGCCAGTTCTCTTTGAGAATACAAGTCTGCTGATTTCAAAAATAATTAATCTTTCAGCAACGACGTTGTATGAAACTGGATCGCAAGGGTATGTTCGCTTTTAATCAACTAAAAATATCTGTTTCAGCTTTAAGTACCGCTATCCTGCACCATAGATTTAATTATTGGTAAATTCTACGGAAGATGCAATTCTTGCTTAAATAGTCTGAAAAAGAACAAATGTGGCAGATGTAAAAGGATTTAGAAAGAATTCTCTTCTTGCCCACATGTGCTTGGATCATTGTGTCATTAGTGAAGCCGCGTTACTTTTTTTACAAATGAGTTTTTTTTCTCAAATAAAATTTTGCTTATCACACATAACAAGGATATTGGTCTATAATTCGTTACTTGTGATGAACTACCTTTTTTGTGCACGGAAGTGACGACCGAACTTTTTATTCCTGGGGAAAAATTGCAGTGTGCAATGAACATTTAAATATGTGTAACAATTGTTTACTTACAGAAGTTAAACAAAGTTTAATGAATTTGAGTGAGAAATCACCCGTCCTAGTACTCTGTGTGTTTTTCATCGACTCGTCATCTAATTTAACAAAAATATCCGAAAGTTTTTTGCTAGCAGAAATTGAGGTGAGAACGGTGGGAGTAGAAGTCGAAGAAGAATAATACGAGTTAAAATGGGTAAATATTTAAAATCCAGAACTTTTCTCATTGAAGAAGAGACATACAACTTTACACTACAAAAAACTGCAGCGAATGATATATAATTTGATGTGTTTCGAAAGAAAAAGTTTTTGTCCAAAATTTTAGGCAAAATACGTGAGAGGACCTCAGGCAAAAATTTTGAGGAACACTTTTTGTCTACCTTCAGTACCAAACTTAGGTGAACACCGTTTCTCGACATGCCGAATCCGGTAACTGGTCAACACTTCGGTTTCCATTGACGATGGAATATAGATCAATTTCATATTAGTTAGTGAACGAGGGCGAGAGGCAATTTTATACAACGCGCTGTTTTCGAAGACAGGATGGCTCTTGTCGAATATTTTTCAGAATTCGTTGAACATTTTTGTCCTTCTATTGTTCTTCTCGTATTCTTTAAATTCCAAAGTCGAATGTCGCTGGTAGCTGCTTTTATTCAATGCTATGGTGCAAGAATATATTCAAGGTTATTGCGTAGGCCTTGGTCAAGGCTATCTAGGTATGCACCAGTTATGGACCAGTTATTTCCGACTGTTTTTTGGGGTATCAAGAAAAATTGTTATAACGCGGTTATTAACAATCGCTCAGACTTGCGAAATGTCTCATTTTGTAGACAAATGTTTGTTCTATACATTTGTATGGAGGATAAAATTAAAAGTTGGAAGAGAGAAGCGTTCTTAATGAATTACCGAAGAGGCATGAACAGTTATATAACTAGCGACCAGTTACCACGTACCGCAATATGTAACAAAGTTGCGCGTTCAGCCTTCATTGTTACTGATTTTTCCGCTGTATTAATTAATAGTGTACTCGCTTCATTTAATGTTGAGAAAATTCATAACCATTTGCGTCGCTGTTACAATACACTTGATCGCGCCTACGATACTAAACAAATTGTGTAATATGACATTTGTACGATTGTGCTATTGTCATGCAATGAAAGCTTTCTCTCGTAGTCATTCAAGTTGGATATATCAAAAGAAACCATTCATTATTTAATGTCGCTTTTTGCTATACTACTGAATTCTACCGATGTCGAAGGTGCATTCGATTCGTACGAACAAATTATCAATATTTATGGAAATCCGTATTTCGTGCACTCATCTAATACACACACACATCTAGGCTCGTGATAGGCACATATAATTGACGATGTATAGCTTTACTAAAAGCGAGTGTATTATGGCTTGTACAAGGGAAACAATCATCAAGAATCACTGTTTTCTATAGACCATCATGACAAATTCGTACGAGATAGACACCTTCACGATTAACATTTTGTGTAAGAAGAATATGTCGAAGCATTCGAGGCCGCTCAGTAATAAGAACTAAGGCAGCCATTAACCAACAATCACCTAATTCACCTTGTTGTATATCACTCGGTTGTGGTGATGAACAACAGATCGTCCATAGTAGATGAAGAGCCATAGGTGATGAAGGTGAAATATCCGAGATTCGAAGCCATTGTGTAATACTATCGCTAACATGTGTACCCAATGAATGAAACGAAGGAGGAAATTGATCATCAACAAAGTGGATTTATTCTTGAATAATAAAAATATGAATAATAGTTCTTATCGGAGATTTTAATCGACTTATTTTATGACAAAATAAAATTATATCCCGAAATATTTTTTCCGCATTTGATTCATCCTGATGAACTGACATTGGTCTCGTTGATGATAACATTTTTCTATTAGCAATTTCGGTTCTACGTGCTAAATAGAACAGAGTTCAAGAATATTTTCACCTGTCTTAGATCGATCTATACTGGTATGTACCTAGGTCTACCACAGACACTACAGTTTAGACTATTGGCTTCATTTTCAAATGTACAAAAATCACAACGCCAAGATGGTTTCAATGAAATTTTCGAAAATGACATGACAAAATCTGGATGAGGTTGATGACACATAGAACAATTCAGATAGGCTGGCATTGAATTGCCATAAGAACATCTCGGACAGAACCATAGCTTAATGCATGTAACTGGAGATAATGGCGAGGAGATAATGGCGAGCTTACTTTTTCTTTTCTCCTTCTATTCCTATTGCATAGTAACACTGGTTGCTATTTTCATTAGTCAATGATTGACCACATGGTCTTTAAAAAATTGTCACATGAAAATGCTGCATATTCAAATGAGATCACAAATAAGACTGCATTGATTGTGCAAAATTTTTCAAGAGACTTTAACGTCACTAATCAAACTCCGATCAAAAAATGAAAAAGTAATCGAGTATGCTCATTGGGCTTCTCATCTTAATTAACGAACGACGGAAAGTCGTTCAAATAACATATAGACGTCGTACACATCGACAAAAAGTCGATTATGAGCTGATTTTTTGCGCTGATTTTACAATGTTATGTGTGTCTTGGTTTGCATGATAATCATGCGTTTTCTGTCTTATCGGCGATGACAATATCCACGAATTCATCTCGTTTTCTACTTATTCGCGATCCACACGGTAATAAGGACTACTCGGATCATTCGATTATCCGATCATTACATTCGACACATTCTTCTTCAGGTGTTTTCTGGATAACCAAAAGAAGTCTGTATAAAAAAAATCTTCATACTTTTTAAATTCCTTTTCTTATTCTAGTATGAATATTCGACATTTTATGCAACATCACATCATCTTGGTTCAAAAGTGACTGTTGTTGAAAATATGTCAACAACACATAATGTTCATATGAATATAACCAATGCCCAAAATATCAGTCTTTCTCGTCGTTCATTGAGTACAAATGATTTTATTCCACCACATCATCGTCAATTGATTTGTATTATTGAATCGACAAATCAAGAAGGCTGTATTGCTAATATTTCTTGAAATATTGCTAATATTTCTTGAAATATTAGCTTTATCTTTTTTCGTAGTTTTTTATTTATTTATTTACAATCAAGACGCTTCGATCGCCATATAAATGAAAAACTACGCAGATGAAGTATATTTGTCAAGAAATATTAGCAATACATTTATCTAACATCGTATAATAATAAAAAAGACCCTATTCTACTATTAAATCAAGAAGGTTCATCAGCTCATAAAAGTTATACAAATACACTAGGTCTAACAACAGGATGGTGTAATTCAATACCATTTATCGATAGTGCTCATCACGATTTGCCTATTCGACTTTTTGTTTAAATCAAATTTATTTCGTTTGGAATAAACAAGAATTCAAAAATGCGTTCATTTCAGAGACGAGCATATGACAGGACCGTCCTGTCGTTTCCTCTAAAGACATTTTAAAAAGCTTTAGACATTTTGCAGCTTTCGATGGCAACAATATTGGTAAACATCTTTGACTTGACTGCGAAGAAAATATTTTTTCAGAGAAATGCGGGCGGGACAAAGTAAAGTTTTTTAGAAGTCTGCAAACATTGTTAGCTTCGCGCTAAATTGTTTTAGTCTGTGTGAATTTATGGACTTTTCCTAAAGCTCGAATTTGGCATAAAAATCTGTTGAAAATAACAAGATTTTTTCGTGCATTCTTGACCACGGGAAAAAAATTTGCACGATTTCTAATGCGAAAATTTGTTGGTCACACCCGAACCTTGACTAACTTGGGACACCCGTACTTTCGAGAAAAATTTGTATCATATGCATCCCCCTGGTTTTTGGCCTTCGCGGTGGTCCCGTTTATGTGATATTACATCGATTGAAAACAGTCGATATAAGTCAAGAAACAGATGCCAGTTATTCTTCTATTCTTGGCGAAAACATTTATTAAATGATTTACTCAATAAATTCTCACGTGAAATGAATCAATATACGACATTCAATGTAACATTACCCAACGATCGACCCATTTATCAGGTTGATGAGAAACACTCTAATCGATGTATTCGATCATCACATGGCTTTGAAGATATTGAGTGAGATTATTCATAATAGTAGTCAAAGTGAAAGATCGACCGAATTAAGTCAAATTATTCGATTCAAAGCCGGCCGATCTGAGCGTCAGCCACCAATACCTGTTCTATCTGTGAAGTAGAGATCATGAAAGTGACGATTTTTTAGTCCCATGGTCCCGGAAGGAAAAGCACCTTTTTGAAAAAATTCGATATCACTTTTCTGATAAGTACGGACATGTGTTCCGTTTTAGTGGTGATTGATTTCGCTTGCGTAGCAGCAAGTTTGTCTGTAGTTGCAAAAGCTGATTTACTGATTGAGCTCTAGTCTATAGATACGAAAACAAAAATTCGTTATTTGCGAAAACAACAGTTTTTTGAGCTGGTCCCGGTCCCGATAATGCTGAAGAATTTTGTCCCGGGTGCGAAAAAACCGGGATCGGGACAGAAACTAGTGCCGGTGATCTCTATTGCGAAGGTATGCTTTTGCTCATTTTGGCAAGCTGTCTTTTAGTTCGAAAAAAAGTGTTAATAAATTTTTACTTGCTCCATTTAGAGAGCCACAGAAGAATACTATCAACATCGATAATGCTCATGAAAAATAGGTTTATTGTTATGTTTTTCAACTATAGATGAACTCGCTGAAGAAGAATATTAATAACTTTCCAGGGAGAGAGACTGTCTGGTAGAAGCTGTTCGCCAGAATTTTGGAGTCCGATATTAACTCTCTCTCTCTCTCATCGCGAGGGTGTGAGGGATCGGTATTAAATTTTTTCGAACACTTTTCCTACACATTTCCGATTTCATCTTTCACTCATATGCAAAATGGATTTTGCGTTGACAGGCAACGAACTTTTGTTTTACACATGCGTCCGATTTTTCTATTTCTACCAAATAAAATGGCCCATTTTTCTTTGCATTCACTTCACCAATGTTACTCGTCGAGAACACTCTGCGTCCTACCGATTCAATTATGTTTGACGGCTCCTCTTAACGGTAAATATATTGACGAATGCGTGGAAGAAAATAAAATGACGAGAGACCCTGCTCGAATGGCGTCATAGAGAAAGAGCAGAATGGTTGTGAAGCGCTACCTTTTCCATCCTGTTAGATGTTGTTGACGTAGAAGAATAAGAAAAAAGAAGGAAAATGAAAAATCAATCGTGTTAGGAGAAGGGACATGTATTTCATCTATTCCGTCATCGTTGTAAGAGAAAAAGTATAAAAAAGGAACACCAGTTGTTGTCACTCATTGTTTTAAAACTTTTCTACGACGTTCGCTTTGGATCAAATACATCAACAAAAAAGAATGGGTAAGGTTGTATTGCATATTACTGGTCACATGTTTCTACAATAGTCTTTGTGAGCTAATAAGATCTTTCGTAGAATGTATTTGCACGTCGACCTTTAACATTAACACCTATTATAATAACCTATTGAGAAGACGTGAGAAGACGCTTAGGTGGATTTCTAATTCAAAAGAAAAACACTTTAGCAGTTATTCTGCTTCTCTGTTGTCAATGAATAATTTCTACGTGTGTTTTTATAAATACACCCTGCCACTAAATAAACGGAACACCTACATCTATCTTGTTTTAAACGCTTTTTCTCAACAAATTTTGTTGAAGGCATGTGTAGAAGCAGATGGAGGCCATTTTGAATAAATCTTTTTATTTATTGTTGTTTCTGTTGTTTTGCTAGGTTTTGAATAAAAATTTGTAGAGAAAAAGCGTTTAAAACAAGATAGATGTAGGTGTTCCGTTTATTTAGTGGCACCCTGTAGATTTTATCACCAAAGAAATTGAACAGAAAGTCGGTGCGGAAATGAGCGGAGGTGGCCTGACCGGCTTTGGTAAGATTTAGTTTTAGCATAGATGTATTGCATGAAAGTCTCGATTTCGTTTTTGAAATAGGTCAAGGTACAGATTATCCACTAAGAACATCCCTCTCGAACGAGAACGGATAAAAAAGTCGAACGCCATCAGGAAGAGTATGACTGTTTATAATCGCAAATTTTGTTATGGAAACTGGACCATTGGCATCATTACTCTTTGCATGCTGTGAACTTCAATCTAGAGGCTTTCGCTCTGCTGCTCCCTCGACTACTTACCAGATATGGCACTTCTTTTGTTCAAATTTCTCAAAACAATTTATATTGAACGAGGATTTTAGCAGTTTCATTAGTTGACAAAGTTAACGCTCCGAATGTTGGTCAGCCTGGTGATGGTGGGAGCATGATGAATGAATTCGAACAACTTGCCGGTGGTGGTGGGGGCATGATGAGTGAGCTCGAAAAATTTCTATGAATCTCCCTGGTGATGGACGCGCCGTGGTGGTTTTTTCTGGTCTTTCAGATTACAATGCATAAGATCGCAGACATTAAAACAACACAAAATCGATTACGATAAACCTATTTTCTTGATTGTCAACTCTATCCTTGTAGCATAAATGTTCAATTTAGATTTCAGAGTGGTCAATGCACATTTTTAATTGTATAAAGTACAACTAAGCGAAGAGAACAGAAGGAGGAGCCCTAATGAATGTACTGACCAAGTACTTGGCTACGAGCAAATTTTTAATTGCAGTTGATTAAATACTTGTTAAATGTTTATAGAGATTGAAGTCACTAAACCGAGATTTTCAAAATTCCAACGTAGCGGCGGAATGTTGAAGTCTTGATTTAGTGACTTCAACCTCCTTGAAACTAAAATAAATATCACCACTCGACTCAGCGTGGCCAATTACCCCGATCTTTACCCATTCTTAGAATGCTCTGAGGTCATTTGACCGATTTCGGGGTTTTGGTTCAAAAGTTTATAGCTCCAGCACCTAACAAGCGAGCGAACTCGACCTTGGACAGATCGAAACAGAACAATTTTCTCCATCGAATGGTCATATGAAAATTAAAAATCGAATGTAAAATGTTTTCAGAACACAGTTCACAAAATGCAGTAAAGTTCATTATTGAGGTCAGTGGTCGTAGTTCAAAGCAGCTATCAACTTTGTTCTGATGAAAAAGATCTTTGAACTACCCTCTATCACAAAGAAAAAGAACTAACCCATTTGACTGAAACAGATTAGAGATATTCAATTTTTTGTACTGTGGCCCACCGGTGGGCCACATCTTGCTGAATGTGTTAATGTTTTTCTAGTGAGAAATTAAAAAACATGTAACCCTAGTATTGGAAATCACTAATGTTCTCGTGATACCTTTTTTACGTGGGTCTTTGTTCTTCTCTTGATTGCTATCAGGCACAGAATTTCACCCAATACATACTATTAATTCTCTTAATGCATTAAGGAAATTAATTTATGTGTCAATCATAGAAGTTAGAAATAGTTGAGTAGTACAGACACACAAATAACACCCAAGATTGATGTGTTTGTATCGATTTATAGAAGAGCTCTATTCAATCCCGTTCTGAAATGCACTTCTTATCCACTCTAGAACGAAACAGCAAATGCCGATTGAAAAATGTTCTGACTCTTGTACACGAACACTTTGTTTCTCAATTTTTTCTCGCAACTAAATCTTCACAGTTCTAATTATTTTGAAAACATTCGCCAACTATACAATTTCAATAGTGAACATTTCTTCCTAGTAGCCTATTCTACTAGAATAGGCTTTTATTCTGTGTATGATAACTAGGCCTGTGACAGTTCATAGTTTCTTGTACTACAGTTTCTCGATAACGGGAACTGTTTTTCAGTTGCCGTTCAATAAACTGGAACGGTTTTTCAGTTTCTGTTCTGAACTAGGAACGGTTCAACAGTTCTGGTTTCGCGAACGGGAACTACAGTTCTTTTTGAACTGGAAACTGCTCAGTGTCCTTCACTGATCACTAATGTCGAAATAATAAAATTTGAATTTGAATTATTTTTGTGTAAAACTTAACTAACGAGTAAGCAGGGCTGGCCCAATGTAGCCAATATTGGCGAGGGGGCGAAAGTTTTTTCAGACCAGACATAATCTTCATTTTTCTGTCAGAGTGCAAAATGCAACAATTTTTTGCGACCTTTTTAAAAAATCTGACTTTTCTTGCAAATTTTTGAGAAAAAAATGCTTCGTGTGTAATTTAAGGAAACTTCTGCCTATTTTGTCGCTGAGGGTGGCCACGCTGGAGTCGAGCTCTAGATAATATAGCGCTGCAGAAGCTAAAAAAGCAGCAAAATCATGATTAAAACATTATGAGGTATTACTTTTTATGTAAGGCTGTAGAAGAATCTTTCACAGTAGGCTTAAGTAAGAAAACAAACAACTAGCAGAAAAAGAAAAACAGATATTCATATAGTGTAGTGAAGTTTTCTTTTCCTTCCAGTTTATAAAAAGAAAGATACAGGCGTACATGACTTTTCTACATAACTATAGAACCTGGACATAATGCAGATGGTCTATTGATCTTTCATGCCGATATTCTTTACTCTTTATTTTTCGTTTTTATTTTCTGGTCTTTGCAACCGATGTTTATGACACATGCGTAAGAAAACGGCGAAACAAAAAATAAGAAAAAGAAAAGTACTGGACGTTCTAAGATTTGAATACTAAGTAAAATAGTTAGAGAGAGAATATGGAAAATGCTACACTGGTAGCAGACAAAAACTATTACATCACATCAGGAGCTGAACTTCTCCAACATGCTTTCTTGAACTTAAGTAGTATATCAAGATCTTAAGAAGTAACCAACTAAATTCAATCAGCAAAGTCTACCACCTAATCTGAGAGTCTCTTTGAGCATATCTCATCCCAGCGCTCACTCTTTCAAAATCTTATGCTTGCGAAGTGAAATACATAATATATCAACAATCACAAAAGGACACTGAGCAGTTTCCAGTTCAAAAAGAACTGTAGTTTCCGTTCGCGAAACCAGAACTGGTGAACCGTTCCTAGTTCCTAGAAACGCGAACTGCTGAACCGTTCCTAGTTCAGAACGGAAACTGAAAAACCGTTCCCGTTCAAAGAACGAGAACCGCCTACTGTCACAGGCCTAATGATAACTTCAACTCATACATTATTTTGAATGTCTGACATCGAATGTTTTTCTAGCTTAATTGTTTTGAATATTTTAAAAGTGAATTGATGACATGGGCTTCTTCTTTATTTCTCTCCACTGAAAGAATATGATAAACGAAAAATAAAAGGTTCAGATGACCACGAAAAAATGATTGAAGTAAACATTCCATGAAAGGAAAAAACTTATAAATACTTATAATTTGTATTATGGTTAATTTTGTCCCCAGTTTATCTGTCTTATTAGAGTTTCATTGTGATTACAGAACTCTGTTTTTTAACTTTTCAATATTTCAAGCTGTACTGAATGACTGTACGGTTATGCTACCGAAGACGGTGCATTAATGTGCCGAAACGTTTAGCAATTAGAAATAGGAATAAAAATCATGAATAAAACAACCAAAATTAAGAAACTTACTAATTGTACTGAAGGATAGCATCAAAAACATTAAATAAACGACTGTTTTTCCCAGCACAGACGTTATAAATCCCTTAACTTCTATTTACACGACTAAAAAAGAAATTTCTCTCAAAAATGAATCTAGCAGTCATTTCTGTAGAGCGTTCGCATCAATGGACGGCTCTTTAACCATCATTTGTGACACTATGAGCTCAAGGTTCGCGTTTGAAAAGTACTCGTGAAAGCGGTCCAGACAACCTTTAAAATTTTTCAGTGTCCATTTAAATGTTGATAACAAACACTTATGTGGTAGAGTAACATTTGTTAAATAAATTGTATATGTAGAACATCCGTTATTTGTCTCTTTATTTACACTTTTCACTTGAAATAATGTCCAAGGTAATATTAGAACTTCACCTTCATCTTCATATTCTGATAAACACGGTAATTTATCAGATATTCTGTTCAAATTAATAGTCTGATCACACTTTTCTGGAAAGTCATATATAAATAAAACCTGATGTCGATTATCGTTTGATTTTGATGCATCATCCCCAAATTCTTCCGCAACGGAGCGATATAATGATGTGGAAGAAAAATATTTGGTCTGTAAAAGACTTCCATGATTGTTAACGGCCCATTCGTATGGGGAAATGTCATCATTCGTCATTTTTGCACCACGATACGATTGGCCCTGAAAATATCTTTCTTTCAATTTGTCTAGTGCCATATAAAGTGGGAGAGCCAGCGGCATCGGATTAGTTTGTAAGGCTTTATAAAATTTTGTCTTAAGCGTATATAAATGTAACAGATATTCGATACGATGGTCATTATCCTTCTCGCTTAAATATTTAGTTAGAAGATCATTTGCTTTTTGTGATTGGGGGTCTTCTTCAGTGAGAATTTGTTGGTCGACTATTTCTTGAAGTTTAAGACCAATAGTTTTTGACGACATCGGAGAATCCTTCTGGAATCTATCTGCTATAAATCGCCCTAATTTTGATTGACACATAGCTATAGACGTTGTGGAATAGCCAATTTCGAGTTCCTTTTCATTTGTTTTATAGCCTTGAACTAGTGGCTTTCTTTTCGTCGGCGCTAAATCTCTTGGAGCAGTCGCAGCAGCAGCAGTAGTAGTAGCCATATCTTCTTCATTCGGACGTTGGACAAAATCGAAAGAATTGTTGACATCTTCATCTTGGAAGCGTCGAAAACGGTCACAACTTGAACGTTTAAATAATTGACGAATTTCATCATTAGCTGCCTCTTCGTACGCTGTTGAACCCTGGCTATTGATCTGTGAGCGATCACACTTATGTGCAATAAGCAACTGAACAATCTCCTTATGGCCATAATAGCAAGNAGTAGCCATATCTTCTTCATTCGGACGTTGGACAAAATCGAAAGAATTGTTGACATCTTCATCTTGGAAGCGTCGAAAACGGTCACAACTTGAACGTTTAAATAATTGACGAATTTCATCATTAGCTGCCTCTTCGTACGCTGTTGAACCCTGGCTATTGATCTGTGAGCGATCACACTTATGTGCAATAAGCAACTGAACAATCTCCTTATGGCCATAATAGCAAGCAGCATGTAACGGTGTACTATTATTTGATTCTAAACGATTCAGATCATACTCTGCCTTGTCCAGCATTTGTTTAACAAACTCCACATCCCCATTTCTACATGCGATATAGAAATCGCTGAGTGGTGGTTTATTTGTAGCCATAATAACAACTTTACCCAAATTTCGTGCTTTACCTTGCAATATAGATGTTTTTATTACTTAAACGTATATCATGCATGTGTGGTTAATATACTGAAAAGGTAGGAAAAGAATAAGATGTAATAGTGCAACATATTGTCATTATTTTTGTTCACTGAACCGATAATACATTAAACACTATTTCTTACTATTTTCCACGTAGAATGTTCTATCTAAATCTACTCTCATATACGCCGAACTTAAAACAACAGCAAAGGTTAACTTCGCAACGAAATAAAAGCATCCACTCTCCTCTCATGAGGTTCCTGTGTATTATGCATTCATATACTCACAATAGCTGTATGCAACCACGTAGCAACAGGAGTTTCTTCAGGATTTAAGCATAGCAAATCAGGTCGATTATGCTTGCGTCCGATTTGGAAGAAACGGTATATGTATTCTGATTCCGTGTGTTACGTAGGTTTCGAATCTTGCTTCCGTTTTGGGTTGCAAAGTCTACTTTTTGAGAAATAGACGAAAACCTGGTTTTACGTGGAAATTAAGCCCTTTTTTTTGCTTTCTCTCTGTTTTTTCCAGAGATGTTAAAATAGTAGAAGTAGCACTATTTTCTGTGTTTGGAAATTCTAAAGTTCTAGTGTACGTCTCTCCTTTTTCAACTGCTTTTGTCAGCCGACGTATCGGTGTCTCTATAAGCATGTGAGTAAACGCGGATAGGGAAAAGGTTTTATCACTGTAGACTGTTAGAATTTCTCCGTTTTATTTCTGATTTAAGAATTTTAAACACTTAGATTTTCCTACTTTTAGACTATTAGACTTAGAATTCTAAAATTCTGTAATTACAAAATTCTACACGTCTAGAACCACAATTCTAGAATTCTAAAATTCTGTACATGAAAACACACTTAAAGCCACATCTATTTATATATAAAATTTACATATATTTAAACATTTAAACGAGAAACAGATGGAAAAGAGTACAGAACATAACATGACGTAAGGAGAATATAAAAAAACATGACGTCAAGAAGGACGAAAAATAATCACATATACTAACCTATAATGTCCTTGTGACATAGCAACAATGTGACTGGCGAGTTTTTTTGATCTTTCATAATGTAGATCTAAAAAAATCAGAGCTGTCACAATCCTGTTACACAGTGTATCGTAAAACAACGGTCAAAATACTGGTGTCGCATGTAACGGAAAAATTCTCAAAATGCATGAGTTAGTTACAGGTGTGTATGTGATGATGATAATATATAACGTAGTCTGGGTAGGTTGGCTATGTTGAGTGGTATGAGTAGAATGAGTAGGATGAGTGGGTTAAGTAGGATGAGTAGGTTGAGTAGGTTGACTAAGTTAAAAATTATCTGCATCGATTTAATATGAGAGCTTTTAATGTTAGTGAGCGAAATTTTTTTTTGCAAAAGAAGTCGATTAAAATCAAATTTCGATTTTTGGCTCGTTTTTTAAATGTATTTGAGTTAGTTTCGTAATTTTTATTTTATCTTCCTTCAAAATGTATAATTAATCTGAATTAATTTTGATTGCTATTTCAAAATCGATATGCCTTCTGCTATCACACGGTGACCATAAGTTTGAAATAAGATCTTTTCCCAGACTGTTCTCTCAATCATAACCAGTTCCATTATGGAGTAGAGTCCATGCAGTCACGGGCTTTTTAACCCGAAATCAGCGTCGTACTTTTTTACAGACTTTACTCCAAAAAATCACGTTAGCGACCAATAGCTTCCATTTTAAAAGCTCGAAAAAAAATACCTACAGCTCTTATCTCTTGCATTAAGCTCTTCAGGCCAACTTAAACGTGCTTTCAGAGAAAAGCCCGTGCAGAAACGTTTGGTACGTGGCCTGATAATCAAGTATATCTGCTTTATTGTCACAATTTCACCGAAATATTAAAAAAAGTAATCCTCAAATCCATCAAGGTTTTATTTTAAACAACCTATAAATAATATTTCATTTCCTCACGTTCCTTCCTTCTGGCAAAGCACTGGTATTGAGATATTTGTTGAGAACACCACTAGACGGATCCTCAGCGCTGCACTTTAGTGATACCGTCCGCGAATATCTCAATACCAGTGCTTTGCCAGAACAAAGAAACGTGAGGAAAGGAAATGTTATTTGTAGCTTGTTTAAAATTAAAACTTTAACCCACTGGATTTGAGGATTACTTTTTTTAATATTTCGGTGCATTATTGACACTAAAGCAGATACACTTAGCTGACAGACCGCGGACCAGTTGACTTTTGCTATTGTGAACTTACAGTGTAGTGGCTGAAAGAAGAAGACAACTAATGCCTATTCCTTTAATCTGACCCAATAGCAGAAAAGAAGTCTCGCACTCTCAAAAAAGAAGACACTTTAAATATATCCACACACTTCAGGTATGCCAAACTTGCATTAGAGCATGGTCAGAACACATATGAAGTGTGCTCTTGATATAATACTTAAAGTGTATTATTTTTTGACAGTGCGCATTCTTTGAACAAGCGATATAAGGATATTGAAAAAGTCGCTACACTGTAAAGAAATAGTACTTTAAAAATAGCCGTTTCTTTCTGTGTCTTGTTTTTGATACCCTTTCAAAGTGCTCTAAAATAGATCACATTTCAGAAGTGTTCAAGTACACTTTGTACCACTAGGTCTTTTTGAAAAGCGTCCCAGTTGACAGCAGAAACGAAACTGATCTTTGACTAGTCACTTTAAAAGCGCTACTTCGAAATGTGCGCTTAAGCCGAGTATTATCTCAAAGAACACTTGTGCGGTCACTAAATTTGTAGTGTAAATTTGTCGAATGAAAAAATTAAATTTATTAGATGAACAGAATTTCAAAATATGTCAACGTTTGACATCATCGACACATAAACTTGATGAATATCTGAAAGATCATCCGTTATTATTAAATATTTTCAAGAATTATCGTGCTACAAAATATGATGCATTAACATTGTTTATTTGTTTTTTGGTAACATTACCACATTAGGCCATGGAATCTAAATGTTTTGGTCGTGATACGATCAGTTACAGTACTATAAAATTTTTGGCTATTTTACGCGGTGAATCCGGTAAGAAATGAATTAATAATAGTCTGCTCAAACGCACGAGTAGTTACAAAATGAGCGGTACAAATATCTGTCTTGCAATCCTAATGTTATTGAAGACTGCGAAGTATTCCAATTACTCCTTAAAAATGATAGTTATTTAACAAAGTGTTATAATATTTCATTTTGTTGTATATTATGTTTTAACTCTTGTTTCTGTTTTTCGTTTAGTTACAAATAAATCTGCTTATATTAAGCAAATACGATTATCATGTCAATTTGTTGAAAGATATTTTGGTTTCATGTTTTTTAGTGCGGAAGAAATTTCAAAAATAGAGAAAGGAGACTCAAATTGTGATGGAAGAAGGGAGGAAGGAAGAGAATTTCTCTGATTTGCGGCTATCTTGTTAACTTGATCTTCTATGTCGTCGAAAAAAGATTTATCAAATTCAGCAGAAGAAAGAAAGGCTTGTTGGAGAGATTCGCCGAGAAGACTGGCTTTCTCAGTGTTATATGTTATGAATTTATTGCTGTTATTTTTCAGTTCTTTTATTTCTGATGTTGAAACAGGATCCATACATTTACTAATTCGTTTCCAAAATGACAGATCATTCGGGTTATTAGTCTCCGAACAGAATTTGCGCCAACTCAGGTCTTTCACCGCGGATATCTCTCTACGTATGATGTTATCCAGCCGACGTACCTGAACTTTATATTCAAACAGCCTGGTTTTTGATAGTTTCGAAAAGCTTTCCTTTTTTCCCGGATTAAACCGCGTATAAATGCTGATATGGCTATACGATATGCGGATAGATTTTTCTTCGTAAACGTGGCTTTATCATATGCATCAGCGATAGCCTTAGTCACTAAGTTTGTAATAGATTCTGGGTCAGACGAATTAGATACAGTTCGATAAAGAGAGTTAGATACGATGGAAAGTTCACGCTTAAAAACATCCCTATCGGTATGTTTGACTGAGCAAAAGTTAGAAATTGGAGAGATAGAGGTGTCGAGCGAAAAACAAAAATCAACATAAATTGGCATATGCGGCATATGGGTTGGAAATTACATGCCCCCATAGTTTGCTTTTTGCGTTAAGATCCCCGAGAATAAGGCACGGAGATGATTTTACCATAGCGTCAAACAGATTGTTGTTGAAATGTAAATTTGGTGACGCATAGTATGTATACAATTTGAGATTTGGAAAAGACGCTTTGGAAAACTCAACACCGAGTACTTCGTCTGGGAAATTTAAATTCAGGATGTTGAAAGAAATAGGTTTTTTAACAGCGACAAGATCACCCCCACCCCTTACCTTGACACGTTTTTTGAAAATATAGTTAAACTCAGGAAAGAATGTAACAAACAAGTGCTCATCAAACGTAAAAATCTCGTTTAGACAAAAAGCTTCAGGTTTCATTAGCTGAATAAGATCAACAAGTTCAGTGAGATGAGCTTTGAAACTGTTTATATTTTGACACATAAATTTACTATTCATGGTTTGTTTACCTGACTGTCACCATTTGAGCTGTTTGTAAGAATGCTTGTTGGGTTAGGTATTGTAAGGTTACCATTTGTGTAGGGTTGAGACATTGTTGTCTGCAGTTGTTATGCTGGGTATGGATAAACATTTTGATTCATAATTGGTAATGAATTAAACGTATTCATACATTTTGATAGATTATTCTTTATTTCAATATTTTTGGTAATTTTTATTAATGTTGGGACTAGTTGTTGAAGGAATTTATTTAGGTGAACGTGCACATTGTTGATCATTGGATTAAAGTAAACCAACTGAGATTTAAAATTTTCGGTCAATATCGCGATATCACGTTTTAAGAAAGCCACGGTTATACCAACAGATGAGGCTTGTTTTAAAATCTCTTCGTCAATCGATTCGTTTCTGTTAGTTAGTTGTGATGATTGAAGTTGAACGATGGCAGCGTACGATCGACGTAGGAACCGATGTATCCATTGTAATACTACTGAATTGTTTATTTTTCAGTTCATTGATGTACGATAGCCTAACTTTGCACGCGGGATAAGAAGCTCTGTGATTTTCACCACAGTTTGGACAAATCTCTCTACTAGAGATACACTTATCAATTGCATGCGGTCCACTACATTTAGAACATTTTGGTAAATTATTACAGTTTTGAGCGTAGTGACCTAATTCTTGACACTTAAAACAACGAATTATTTTGATAGATTGGATATAGTTGGCTGTTGGAAAAGCGAATGGCGTAACGACTCATTTTCGTTGCGCTAATAAGCGATCACGACACGTTTCCGAAGAAACGTCGAGACGAACTAGTAACATAGGCTTATCTAGGGCGACGTTTCTGATACGATGGATAGCAGTAACTTTCTATTGCTTGAATATCACTTAATAAATCTTTTTCATCGATGGAAATATCAACAGATTTCAATATTAAACTAAAGCTTTTGTTAATACCACGTGGTGAGCGATTAGTATAGTTAACACCCGTACCAGATATTTGTTGAGGACAGTTATTTAGTAAAATTTGTTCAGAAGAACTATCAACTGGGAATAGCAGTAATTCTTTTTTATTATTGAACCGGCAGGTTGTGTCACACTTATGTAGACTATTAAATTCGATTAATTTTTGTTTAATAATATTCATCGGAGGCACATTGCCAATGAATGAGAAGATAACTGGGACAAATGGTTCTCGATCTTGTTGGTCCACGTTGTTTCTAGGTATTTTTGATGGCGGAGAGGTGGCCAGAAAATTTCTTTTTAGATTATTTGTTATTGACGGTTATTGACGGCGTTTGAGGTTTTCTTGACCTTTTGTCTGACTGAATTTGCCAGTCACCGTTCATTGGGTCATCACTCTTTTGCTGATCTGCATTGTTAGGAGAAAACTGATATTGTTGATTGAGATTTGGATTTGTTTCATATAAATCACCATTGTTCGAGTAACCATGACTCATCGTCTGCATAAGTTAAGCAGACGAAGAAGCAGAAAAGACGACAATAACTCTATTCTTACGCGCGTGAAACTTTATCAATTCTCTTCTCTATACATAAATTTTATTTTATTTTTTAGCAAAAATAACCGAACAAAAAAAATTGTTAGGAAGATATGTTTCTGTTTTTTTACCTTGAAGTAGAAGTACATAGATACCCATTTGCATTCTTCTGTTATTACGAGTTTTTTAAACATGTAAATATTCCTTTCCTTTTACTACTTTTTCTATTTCTAAAGTAGACGTAAGGCAAAAAAACCCATCATCTCCGCAACATAAAGGAGAATATATATGTACACGCATAAGAAAAAAAAAGTCACTATGTCAAGAGAATGAGGAAGAAGAGGAGTTTATGTAATGTAGGATTGCTATTAGTGGTGAAATACAGCAAGTACTATTTATTCTGCCATTTGTGGATTTATCTTTTAGTGTTTTTCTTTGGTGTATTAAAAAGTACTGCACGTGTCGTCTCGCATTTGTTCACAGACTTAACCACATACATATTAACCCTTTACTCCCCTACGGATCACTGGAGTGACCATTTGTAGAAACGTTCCAGAAAGTAAACGAAGCATCAAATCCAAAAGCTTTCAAGGCGTTATTTGTAGCAAATTCCACAAACTATCAGTTGATAAAAAAGAATTTTCTCATCGTTGCGTCTTTGAGATGTATGACATACAAAATCGACAAGTTTTAAAAAAGCAAAAGAATTGAATTTTGTTTTTAGGATCCTTTTCTATCTACATGGAGGATACTTTTTCGTGATGTGTATTATAATATATATCGGCTAAAGTGCTACTAGTCAATTAAATGACTTTCAAAAATTTCGCAAAAATAGATAGAGTGGAGATCGTAAAAAATAGATAGTCACTGCAATGCCCGCCGTGGGGCGGAGAGGGAAATTGAAAAATGATTTTTTTCGAATACATAAAAGAACATCTGCTTTTTCGCGTCGATGGTTCCTGTCGTCGGAATCGTTACGGAACCGGCGGGTTCCGTTGTATTCGGGAGTCGTTCTGACCTGTTTGTTTATGTTGCGGCGTGTTCCTTCAACCGAATTCCGCCGGTTTTGGGCTGAAAAATTTCGACGATTTTCCGGCTGGTTCCGGTCGGAATACACTGGAAACTGAATGGAACTTGTCCGAGGAAATGCCCGCCGGAATCCGATTGAAAGGAACACGACGAAACATAGAGGAGGTGGCTGGTTCCGATCGGGCAAGAATGACCTGGGTAATTTATACATGGTTGGATAGAGCGCATCGAGCTGGTCCAGAGAATCGGTGTTTTAGTGTTTGAAGAAAATTTTTTTCATGACGAAAAATTGAAAATACTCGAAAGATCTAAATTTTCGAAAAACGCTTCGGTTTCAAGACAAATCAAACTTTTTTATTTTATATTTTGAAAGTATTTTTTTAGATTCAGCATCACAAACCGAGTATGAATCTATTCGATTGTGTTTGAAGTCAAAGGTCTATCAAATATGGACGTCTTGGAGTCGCCCTGTGGAAAGTTCATCAACAATTTTACAAATCTATCTAGTTTTTCTTGTGAAGAGATGAAGTCGACTTTTTTACTTCAGAAAATTCGGAATTCGTCCCGTAATTCCCTCTTTTCCCCATCGGAACTCAATTTCTATGCCATCGAAATATCATATTCGAAATAAGCGTCAAAAACTGAGTCGAATGATATATTGCTTATCCTATCCACTGATTTTATTTTTTTTAATTTTCACGTTGAACTTACTGACATTTTCACAAAAATAAAAATCAATTTATATCATTCGACTCAGTTTTTGATACTTACTTCCAATATGATATTTTTATTGCATAGAAGTTGAGTTCTGATGGAGAAAAGCAACTGAAAAAATTTCGATAATTTATTGTGTGAATTATTCTTTTGATCTGTTACTTTTTTCTCTTGATGTTGGTCATATAAGATATTTTGATTTAGTTTTTGATATTTATTTCAGATTGCATAGTATGGTGAGAATGATGAACTATTGTTCTTATTAAATAGATAAAATCAAAATGGCAGTGTCGGCGTTGTGGGACGGTTTCAAAAACAAGCTCTTTGGTCGTAAAAAACCTACATTAGAAAAACCGTTCGTATCAGAAACGTCACCTATTTCTCAGATTGGTATTATACTTAGTAATGATGATGTTGGTCAACCATTTTTTGATTCAATATTCGCAGCAGTAGAAAATTTTGATGAACACAATCGGGAGAATAACAATACAAATTTTACGCGTGATGTAGAAAGTCTTATCGATTATACCAGATACAGTATTGATTGCGGTAAATTTTTTAATCGTGCTGATGCTTACTTTTATTTACTTCGTAGAGCAGAAGAATATCTGACAGTGATAAAGTCATCAGCATATTTTAGTTGGAGTGGCGGCGACCAAAATTTTAAAAGTTTAAAAGAAATGGTATTAATTAATGCACGGCATTTATTCGTAGAAACAAACGGTTTAGAGCCTAGTTTTAGCGTACAAGATGCCAATCTGTTGAAGCGTATAAAAATTTTCGATTATGTATCATTAATAGAAATGAAAGACGATAATTCAATCGAATTATTTTTAGCTTTAGCGAAATTATCATTTCAATCATCGGTGTATATAAATGAACAAGCACATTACTTAACATGGACACAATTATTAAAAAAATGCAAAATAACAGTTTCATTTGGAAGTTTTATTAAAAAATACTTTGAATATGAACAAAATTTTAAGGCCTTTCCATATGATGTACCAGCATTTATTTATTCTATTAGTTTAACAAAATTTCCGCTTCACGATATTTTTGACTATATTGAGAAATTAAATTTGAAACAAACCGAGTTGTGGTACCTTTTTTGGCCCTTGTTTGAAAAAGGAGTAAAAAGAGGTCAAGTACAATATGATAACAATGATATAGTTTCATTACTGAATCATATTAGTCGAGATGATGGTCTATTCATACAGTATTGTACTATTTATTATGAGAATGCACAAATTGAAGACGGATGGAATGTATTTCTTCAACTTTGTGAAACCGATCTCAAGGAAAGTTCTCGACGTTATCTTGCATTAGAAGTAAATAAAAAAATTCAAAACATTCATCTTGAAAAGTTTAACACATTAATGAGATTAGCTGTTCAACGTTTAAAAGTAATAGAGAATGAAAAAACCCGGACAACATTCACAATGCTATTAGAAACGGTGTTTACTTCTTATGCTAAACAAATCACTCGCGATTATTCAGAATACAAATATAAAGAATTATTAACAACAGCCGTTCAAATATCATCAAACATGATTGAACGTCCATGTTGTTTATTGCTTATCGAAGGTTTAGTGAAAGCATGTTCGGGTATGAATGCTGAACTACCTAATATCTCCAAAATCGAACGGCTGTTTCGAGTTTTACGTGAATTAGATGATATATTAAAAGATTTTGAACCATCAGCAATAATCAAAGACGAGTGGTTCAGTGGTTTCATTTTAACAATGTCAAACGGTTACTCGAAAATTTCAAGACCATTGTATCAAACGTTATGCGAGAATAAAAAAAATCGATGGATTCTTTATATCTGGACGCGTCTCATTCAACTAAGTTTAACAAAATATCAGCCTGACAACAATGAACAAACATTGCATGCAATGAATCAGTGGTTGATCGATGTCCGACATCAAAAATATGACCCGGACGCTTTATTTACTGTTATTCTCGTAACATATTTGTTCAATACGGCTACTACTTTTATGAAACCCTTATCATTACCTAATATTGAACATATCAGCAATTATATTTCAGATTTCATAAAACAGAAACAATTAATCATTAAGCTTGATACAAGTAATATTTATCAGTTTGTTAGAGATGGACAATGTGCAATACGAGACATATTAGCTTTAAAAGGTAAGTTTTATTTGCTTATAGTACTGTTAAAAAGACAAGCATGAGATAGGGCGATATTATCATCACACCACATCTCGTGTAGTATTGTGACTGCTACTGACAACTTTTTCTCTGAACTTGAATCAGTTCAAGATGTTTTCAGTTCTACGAGAAATCCGCTTTGAACAAATTCACATCGTGTTTGTACGATGTAACCACCACTGGTGGTGTCAGTCACAGCTATTAACAACGCTAAGTGGTGGATGGGGGGTAACCCCTCCCTACTTTTTGAAAATTTTTTCTCCGATTTGGAGAAAAACTGTTTTTTATCCATTTTCTCCGATTACGGAGATTTATTTCGGAGAAAATTTTCGAGACCTTTCTCCGATTTTAGGATTTTCCCTACCACTTCCAGTAGGTCAATAGCCCTTAGTGCCACCACTCGATGGTGTCAACAGCGCTTCTTGCCACCACTTAGTGGTGTCAATAGCCGTTGCTGACTCCTCCTAGTGGTGTCAATAGACCCACCCAAAAAGTAAAGTGTGTAAATAACACACATAAAGTGAATGCCAAGTCGATTCCCAGTGACTGTCTAGAATGCAGGACGTAGGTGCGTAAAGTACACACTGAGAAATAACCATCTAACTCTACACACTGAGACCGATGATAAAGTCTACTCGTCTAAACTATCTGTGCTGGAAATGCCTCAGATTCATCAATCGATTGTTCAAATCTACTCCATGGCGGTGGATTTTTTTCACTTTTTTTCTTATCCGTTTTTGCTGGAAATGACAGCATATATACTTTCGAAGATGGTGATCATGATTCTTAAATTATTTTTTCATTTGATGCAGTTGTTCGGGAGAAATATGGAAAATAAGAAATCTTTTTCACACACGTAGCTCTTTATACACCGAGATTGACCATCTAGAGAAGGTACACACTTTTCGATGTCGAATGAACGTTTCGAAGATTTACAGATCTAGTAACACACGTTATTTTTTACAGTGTAGTGAACGATCAGATGACCTAGTCTTGAACATCAATGTCTGTTACATGACTGTCTTGTTACATTTCAGTACCTGATCTTTTGGATTTTTTTACTGGTTCTGATCAGGAAAAAACCTGTGTCCTGATCGGAGAAATAGATTCTGATCAGAAAAGCAGTGACCGATCAGTAAAAACAGTTGCGTGATCACTGAAGTAAATGTCGTGTGCAGAGAAAACCGGAACTGAAAATCAGTATGCATAAAAGAATAACCATTAGCTAGCGATACAAACATATTTGTTTCGGAAAATATTAATTAAAATCAATGAGTAAAGATTGTAAAAGGAAACAGTGATTTAGTGACTATGCACAGAAAATTCCAGTGCACACTGCATAGGTGTGACACAATGTCATTGGTGAAGAAAAATATTCAATGTGTAATTATTATTTGGCTTCATTTACCTCTTTTTTTCTTTATTTGTTTCTTATAATTCTTGTAGCAAAATAGACTCGACTTCTTGAAGCCAAGTTCATGCTCGATGACTACTCTCTTTGTAGAAGGTAGGCTTAGTCATCGCCTTTCGGCATTTTAACATCATTTTCCAGCCATATAAATAGTTTCACATTTTTATCGTTAAATAAGTAGATAAGCAAACTAAGAATTATAGAATTAAATTCTTCAGTTTTCACTGTTAAAATTAAATGTTTATCCATTTTATTTCGTTTTCGTAATCAGCGTGAAAACTATGTCTGATGATATATAGTAAAAGACGATCTATGAGAAAAATGAAAGAATACTTTTATTGCAGGCGGCCGCTAGTACTCAAACAGATAGTTGTTATTCCATATTTCATCGACGAAAACCACCGAAAACACAAATCCCCCCTACCCAAGCAAATGTCACCTACGGGAAAAATCTAGATACATTTCGTCTGTAATCGGGCGATACAGGACTAGTTGCCATCTAGATTATTAGTTGGAACAGGGACTTTTAACTAGATGCGTCTGCAGGTGTATCTAGTAATAGTTAGATCGATCAATTATCGGGCGATAAATCTACAGTTGCAACTAGAAAAAATCTAGTAATCGCCCAATTACTAGACTTCTACTGTCGTTACGCAGTAGTTGCAATCGAGTAAAAATCTAGTAGTCTAGATGGATCGGGTGATACTAGATTTTTTTTTGACGCTTGGGTATATTTACATGCAAGAAACAATAAAAATAGATTTTATTTATATTGTTACAACAGCATTTAAAATAAAACGATACTCTACCAACACGAACAGTTGGCTGAATTTTGCACACTGCTATGACGTTCGGAAGGAGCCGGTGATATTCTAGAAGTCAGATGAATAAATTCATACAGTTTAAAGAGTACATAAGCAGAATAGAAACAAAAAAGAGAGGCCACATATGAGATTTGAACTTGCATCCTTCGAGTTACAAGACTACTGATTTACAAGTAAATCAGGTATTGATCAGGCAAACAGTTATCTGTTCTTTAGAGAAGCGGTGCCATGATCACGACAGCGGATCTCGATCAGAGAAAAATTAAAGCTCTGATCACGGAAAGAAAATACAGATCAGGAAATCACGATGCTGCTCTTGACTCCATACAACCGCAACTCGGTGGATCGTGACATGACCAGACTCGTTAAGTTTGTTTTTGGAAGACTATTTGCCTGCGTCGAAAAAAGCTTCGTTTATGCTTCCCAAAGGTCGAATTCATGATGAAACTCCTTTTTCCACTTTACCGAACACTTCATTGAGCTTCCCGGATTGTCAAGAACCAAGATTTGACAAAATCGATTTTTCAGAATCGGTCCTAATTCCGCCTGTTACGCATTTTCCCATCTTGAACTTGCTATTTTTTAATGAAAATACCACCATTAGATAGCTCTTTAAAAGTACTAGAAGCCGTCTGACCTGATCATTCGAAAGTCAAATAATTTGAGAGAGAAAACCAAAATACGCTAATTTCGTAACAGACGGAAACGAGAAAATGCGCGGGTTTAATACTTCTTTCCGACATCACAAATGGGCAAGAAAATGTTTCTTTCGGAAGAAGCCGTTTGCAGCAAAACTGAGTCTTAACAGTTTTTTAAGCTCTTTTTAATAGCGTAGTTCGTTTTCTACTGAATGCAATGAATCTCAGCCAAGAAATGCTTTTAATGAGAGTTTTGTGTGCAGAAAAGCAAAAGAAATGGTAAATAATTGTCAAAACTTAAAGTCGATCTATTAGCAAACCTTTGAAATTTTGCTGTATATTTTTTCTACAGGCACACGTACAATGTATGGGATTGTTAGTCGGCCTTCTGAAGATGTTAATCGTTTAAAATTGTTTACAGATGGGTTAGATTTGAAACAAATTGTATTAGCCAATGGGAAAACTATTTTGGAACAATTTAAATTTCCATATACAACTACAATAATTGATTTAATAATTGATGCGAAAGAAAAACCGGAAAACATCATTCCATCAGAAAATTTCTTTGATTTTGTGCGACAAACACATGATTGGTTAAAATGGTTTGATTCCTTCATTGATATATTCCGCCCGATCATCGAATGGTTAAAAATACAAAATGTCGACAATGCTGAGCTAATTTTGTCTCATATCGTGAGTATCATTTATAAATTCGTGTTCCGTTTATGTCTGGTAACACAGGTCATCATACTGTAAAGAAATTATTAAACCTCTTTCTTCTTCTAGCAGAGGATTAAATTTAGGGTGCGTCTATTGCCACCCACAGACATGTCCAGAAGGCTCTATTACCACTTCTGGGAGTGTCAACTGGTACTACTGGCATTTTTATTTTCCTGGTTCAGACTATGGATTTATTTTGAAGTTTTTGTGATTTTGTGTGCAAAATCAAGCGCTCTACAAGCAGAACTGTTATAGTGATCGTACTGCTCGACTACTGCCTCTTCTTCGAGTAGACTTCATGTTTTTCTCTTTCTCTGATTTTTCCTCAAACGATATGAAATTTCCGTTTCAAAGCAAAGTGTGCTGATATATCAGGTGAAAATAACTTTTCTGAACTTGAGCATTCAAATGCCTGATCCAGTCTATGGTGTGACGTTTCAATGCATCTGCTATATTGATACTGAGGCACTTCGGGATTAAAAGCTACGCCGTAAATTCATAGGATGAAACTGTCAAATTAAAGGAGAAAACCTGACAGTTTTTATTTACAAAAATCAAATTCCTCTGATGAACAGCGCTTATTGAGATATTCGTTGAGGACGCCACTTTAATGTTGTATTTTTGCAGTATGGTGTGGCGCTCTCGGCGAATATCCATGTTGTGAACTACGGAAATAAAAAATGCCAATAGCTCCTAGCCGACACTCCACAGGGGTGCCATTAGCCCTTTGGCTGACACTGCCAAACAGTTGCTGGAAGTGTCATTAGCCTCTTGTTGGTAATCCCGGAAGTTTCAATAGTCATTCCGTTAAATTTATCATGCTTCGACATCAAACACGTCTTTATCAGATAGACAGAAAATACCAAGAAAAGTAAAATTATGGTATAGGATATAGACTACTCCAGTATAACCATCGAAAGTAGGAACTAAGTAATGAAAGAATAATTGTATTCATATAAGCACTAGAACAGAAGATGAACATTCGTGAAGCGCAAATGGCAGAGAATGTAAAATCTTGTCAGAGAGGTTCTCTTTGAGACTAAAACGTGAACGATTATTAATTATTTTGTAGCAACAAATCAATTACCAGTCCTTAATTCGTTGCATGAGTTCCAGTTATACACCACATTTATAAGATGAAGACTCCACCCAGGGGGTGGCGTGACCATTCGAACTTTGGGGGGGGGGGGGGGGGTTAAAGGTTTTGTTAAATTTGGGGGGTTTTAAAAAACAATGTNCCCCCCCCCCCCCCCCCCCCCCCCCCCCCCCCCCCCCCCCCCCCCCCCCCCCCCCCCCCCCCCCCCCCCCCCCCCCCCCCCCCCCCCCCCCCCCCCCCGGTAAACTTATGTTTCAAGTTAGCGTGTTTGAAAAACAAAAGTTTCATACGTTCATGCTGTTTATTTTCCCTCGTATCTATCTATCTATCGTCTTCTGAACTAAGTAAAATATTTTAAAGTTTTCGAATATTGGGGGGTGTTACGCCCCCCAATATTTAATGGTAGTTTTAGGGATTTTGCCATACTTTATTTTTAAGAGTACACTATCCCCACGGAAAGAGGGGGTAAACATGCCACGAGTCTGAGTTAATAATTACTTCCCGTCCTTTCTTTGAAAACTTATACAAGAAATTACACAAAATTTGTGCATCTTTTTCTTCTTTATCTGTTACCAGAGCTCGGTTTTTTCGACTTCATTTCCCGTTGTCCCACAAACTTTTGTCTCACCATCGCCTCGTGCTTCGTGAAACTTCTGAGAAATTTTGTCTCCTGAAACTCACCTCGAGTATTCCCTCTTCGTCTCCGCCTCATCTCATAATAAAATTTTCCAAGTATCGCAGTTTAAGAGCACGTCTAGGTATGCATCAGTGTCAGTGTCTACACCAAAAGACTTACACTGACTGCATTGACACTGACCAACATTCATTTTTCGAATTTTTTTAACTCAAAGTAACTTTCTCTCCAGTTTAGTAGTACAGACGAAGGAGAGACCGGTTAGAAAAACATCCAATGAAGGCAGAAAATGAAAATGAAGTAAAGTGGATGCTGCTGTGATAGTGTTTCTTCTCCTGCACTTCTAAACTCGCAAGAAAGTTAATTTGAGTTCAGAACAGTTCAAAAATGGAAGTTTAAAAAATCAATGTTTGCCAGTGCGAGTGAGTGTGATCAGTGGATCAGTGGAATTGCAGTCAATGTTCAGTATACTGACACTGATGCATACCTGAGTACATCTCAAGTACGATTATTAATAAAAAAATATAAACGTTTTTTAATTTCTGAATATGTCATTGAACTTTCGTCAGCTTGCTTTTTTTCGTGGGGAAAAGTTTTTCAAAACGAAATTAGTGATTTTTCGCTGTTAAAAATTACAGGACCAGTCCGTTTCTTTCCTTAGCAGATGACACAAAACAATTTCGGACAACACGACTGGAAAGAGCATGAAAAACTAAGTATAACCAATGTAGTTTTAGTCTAGAACTTCGACGATTTTAGAAATCGGCTTTCTGCAAAACTTTTTCGGGAAAAATTTTGAATTGTTCAAAAAGCCCTGGAGACGAAGCAATAATTTTTATTTTTTCATTAAAAAAGATAAAAGTAATTTCTTTAAACAATAAATTCGTACGTCATTACTATCAGCATTTTTTTGTTCAGGAACAGTCGAAAAAAGATGATAGTGAACTGTTATATATCAAAGCAACCGTTGAAAAGATGATGACAATGTTAAAACCATTAACTGAATTGCATCGTTTATGTCATTTATTTAATTGTATAAAATCATTCAAAATAATAAACAAAGGTAAAATGAATACAAATGCACAAGATTTTATTCGAGATGTAAAACGTGATGTTCCAACGAGTACATTTGAAGTTAGTGAAAAAAAAGTATATGAACACTTAATTCCTATTCATGATCGACAAATCGTTCAATGGACATTAGCATGTGAAAGATTACCTTGTCATATCGAAGTTCGCTATACAACGATAAATAATGATTTTAGTGAAATCATCTACACGAATAAAGAAGCTTTGAATATTGATAAAAATGCTTTGAATGGTGAATTTGAAACATATCAAAGTGGTTATTTAAAATTTATTATTAATAATTCTAATCCTAATAGTCGACAGAAAAAACTCTGGTTTCGTATACGATCAAAGAATATGTCATCATGTTTTCTTTTTCGTGGAATATTTGATATTGCTCATCGAAAACTCTATCAACGTGGACAACTAATAAATGCACAAGATATTAATGAAATATTAAAAAGTGTATTTAAATTTATTGATCGTTTATTAGCAGGTGAAATTAATTTAATAGAAATGGCCGATTTAAAAACAATATTTTGTAATAATAATATTGATATTCGAAATGAAGTGAGAAAATTATTCTCAAATCGTTCAACAATGTCTAATAGACAAATAACAATGGCAACTACTACAACATCTACTTCAATGGATAGTACGACTAATGAACAAGAAGTTGATCGTGTGTGTGAATGGCTTCAAATTTATCAATATATCAGTTTTATAACAACAATTATTGATTGTATTAAAAAATTTGATCTTATATCAGAAAATAATGATAATATTCAAATTCTTGGACATTTAACAAAATTAGGCAATATACAAAATAGTCGTTTAAAAACTATTGCCGATTCATATAAATTATTAAAAGAAAAATTTAAAGGTCTTGATAATCGTCATCTTGAATTAATTAAAACAACATTGGAATGTTCATCTGTCATTGATTTATTTAAAAAATCTGATTTATATTCACAACATGGACGTAGAAGATTTCAAGAATTACGTGATAATTTAACAACATTATTTCAATTACAAGAAAGAAATAATATGATTTTAAATGCGTTAATTGTTACATATGCTGTCTGTGAACCATTTGTATTAAAAGCACAAAATTTAGAAGAATTCGTTAGTCGATTACTAAATTTACATAATTTAGATGAATCATTAAATCAAATAAAAGGTTAAAAGCGATAATTTAAATATTTGAACAATATTGATACTTTTTATTGATAAATTTTACTAATTAAATTCTGTATTTTAGCTGTATATGAAAATATTCAATTAGTACAGATGTGGTTGTCGATCGATGAAACAAATACACTTGATAATGCATTAATTACAATGGAACATTTATTCAAGACTGGAACTGTTCATATTCACTTACAACGATTAAAGAATGAAAAATCGCATTTTGAAATTCATTATCATATCGAGAAACTTCAAGACAATGACGATGAAGAAGAACACGAAAAAATTAATTTTGTATTATCTGAGGCCGATATTGATGATCATAAACGTCAATTAACATTTTGTAATGTTGATTTAGATAATATGCCCCATAAAAAATTATTATTACATGAACAATTAAAAGTTCTACGTATTATTGAACAAATTTATTTAATTTTATTAAAATTAGAACTATCTGGTCATCCTGAATACCAATTAAGAAATGAAAAATATGATATTTATGATAGAACAGGTAATATCTTCAATGATTATTTTGAGATGTAAATAAGCCTTCTGTAATAAACCCATCCATGTAATAGAAGACCGGATGGTCTTTTATTCTGTCCAACAACTCAAAACTTTGAGGGTGGTCTTCTATTGTGGTCATATTTTATCGTCTGCTAGTAGTTCAACGGTAGAAGACCATGGTCCTATATTTCGCTTTCAAGTCATATGATCGACAGTGGTCTTCTAATGAGGGATGGTCTTCTAGTACGGGCAGGGGTTTACGTATAAGCTGTCATAGATTGCTTATTAGAGAACAAGAGATAAACGGCTTCCCACAAGGAATCATGTTTGGCTCTTTTCAGGTTCATCTATATCTGTTTTAGAGATGCCACTACGACAAGGAGATTCTTCGTATTTCCGAACAATCTTCTTGTAAACGTAGGCAGATGATGGAGTTTGATCTTAAGAGCCGTTGCACGGTAGAGACGACCTAACTTGCTAAATTGATCTCTATATACTATAAGAATAAAAGAATATGGAGGAAATACGAGAAAGCCTCAATCTCGATTACTTTCAAAACTCGGAAAACAGTCTTTTAAAATTCAGTCCTTTGTATTTTGCCATATAACAAAAGAGAAAATGGCCATTTCGTAGCCTTTGGAAAGCTCTATCAACTGGCTATATTAAAGAGTTTTCATAGCAGCGACGTAGCCAGCACTTGGCCAAGGGTGGGCCATGGTCCACCCCTTAGAAATTTCTTTTTCTTCATTTAGTAGTAGAAAGAAAATATTTTGATTGAAATCGAAAATAAAAATACTCCACAAGAACATTTTTTACTGTTTTCTTTGGCCAAAAAAAGGTTTGGGCCACCCCTTACTGGAATCCTGGCTACGTCACTGCTTCATAGGCACGGTTGGAGGAGGGTTGTTTTCTTGTAGCGATTTTGTCTCGAATCATCATTTTCTAACTTCAGTTTTGAGGCACTTACGAGGGAACATCCCCAACTGTCAGACGCCGTTCGACTCCATATTACGCTCACAAGTAGGCCTCGGTGAGACTAGCAAAAGTCTAAAAGGTTTCGTCCCTATGGGCCTTTGAAGCAGAGTTATAACGGCTTTATTAGATTTTCGATCTATTCCTAGGTATTTACCGAAAAATCAAATAATGGAATTTGGATCTGAAATTTTGCCCATAGATCTAATGGACCATATAATATCCTGAAAGTTTCAGCAAAAAAGAACGTTATGTTCTCGAGATATTGAATTTTCAAGTGAACTCGACTTTTATGATCTGTCCGTAGTAATATTTTAGCAATTTAATATCTCGAGAACGTAACGTTCTTTTTGGCTGAAACTTTCAGGATATTCTATGGTCCATTAGATCTATGGGCAAAATTTCAGATCCAAATTCCATTATTTGATTTTTCAGTAAATACCTAGGAATAGATCGAAAATCTAATAGCCGTCATAGCTCTGCTTCAAATGGGGACGAAACCTTTTAGGCTTTTGCTGGCCTCACCGAGGCCTACTTGTGAGTGTAATAGTAGTCGGCGTCTAACAGTTGAGGATGTTCCCCCGTTAGAAAAAACTTTGTCTGATTCAGTCAAACAACATATTATGAGGTCGGGTCTGGTTTATCTAGAAGGAAGTAATTCTTGTGTTACATCCGAACAGAGAACAGAAAAAAAGGTTTAAAGCGAACTTATGATACAAAAAGAAAGACGACACTGCACGAGAAAATACATTCCACTTTGATGCACCGTGTTCAAAATAAATTAATTTTACGTAGTCTTTTAGGTTTGAAAGTAATCAAGATCAAGGAGCTTTCCCCTATTTCCTCTATATTTGTTTATTCTTACAGTTTATAGAGAAATATTCATTATGTTTTGTGTGGAGAATTGAATGGGGAATCTTTTTAGAAAAAGATTGAGACTTGGCGATTAACCTTGACCAAGCTATTGAGAAAATACTGAATGAGACATTTATTCTGGACCACTGGTTATACGAAAAGGCGCTTAGAGTAAGGGAAATACTTAAAGAAAAAATGAAAAAGACGTACAAGGCTTGGTTTCAAGACGAGGTGTAATTTTAGGTGAAGTGAATACAATTTTGTCTAAATTTAAAAGTAACGAGCAGTCAACTAGTAATCAACAATTGGAGATACATCTCAAAGTTGGTACTGATAATTTGAAATTGATGCGTGATGCATTAAAAATTCGCTACGAAAATTGGATACTAGAGTTAGAGCGTTATCGTGAGGAAAGTAAATTATTAAAATTATTTTCTAATCGTCAAATAATGATTATGCTCATTCTATTACAAACATTTCGTTACAATAAGACAAAACTTATTTTTTTAAAAAAGTTGTACAAAACATTTACATGGGATAGTCGAAATCAAGAAAAAATTAATGAACAAGAACAGCAATTAACTATTGAATGTTTAACTCATTATTTAAAATCATTAAGACTACATGACGATAATTTATCTGTTGAAACAATATCAGCTTTATATGAGGAGTATCAGATCCAACATGGTGATAATACCGATTTATCTCTAAAAAAATTATGTCTGTTTTTAAACGAAATATTTCGTGACAGTAAACAATTGTATTCACCAATGAGCAAACAAACAACGAGAAAAAATCTCAAAAATCCAACAACAATAACGGCACCAATGATAGAGCAAAATGAACAATATTTGGTGACATTACATGCTAAACCAAAAGATAAATCTATACCAGCTACATTCCAACATGATTTAGATATGGAAACATGGTGTATTTTATTTGAAATTTTTAAAAACAAATTACCATCATCATATCAAATACTATGGGCATCAGTATCAACAAAAGACGATATTAAATTGTTTTATTCAAGAATTCGAACATTTACACATTTGATATTTATTGTACTTGATATAGACAAGATGCATCATCGTCTACGTGAATTATTATTAAATGAACAAGATTCATTATCAAGACAAAATATACAGCATGCCGAAGTTTATTATTTTTCACGTGAACTTACATGTCGAAAAGGAATGAAGTCGTATATAATTCTTAGAACTGTTAATGCAGATGTTGCACGTTCACAATTAAATAAGAACTTTTATCAGTTTGTATCTATGCCACCAAAAATTCGAGTAATCGTTGGAGCAGCTGGTATTGGTAAGTATTAAAGAAAAAATAGACGGTTAAAAAGGGACGAAACGGTATGAAAGTTTAGTGTTGAATCGTAGTATATTATTGATATCGTTCTGCCCCTAAACAAAAACCTTTGTGCAATTCTGACTGATGCTCGCTTGGACAGATGCTCACCAGACACTTGCTCATATAAGACTGGTATTCAGAACCAGTAAGAGAATTTTATAAGAATTTGAAACAAGAGACTGCATATAATTATACGAATTCAAACAGAGTTATGTATACAAGAAACAAAAAAGCAAAGACCATTTATAACGACAGTAAATGTCCGATAGCTTGTAACTGATCATAAATTGTTGGATGTGGGTTCTTCACCAAATTATGTAAACGCTTGTTTAGTGATTCATATTGTTTCTGGATTGTTGGTTCACTGTCAGATTTTGCATTCACTATATCTGAATGTAAATTGTTTTCTTCCTTTATCAGTTTATCTAAAAATATCCATAAAGTCGGATGATAACATTGGAATTCATAGTTTAATTCTCGATGTCACGCTTCAATTTTATTATTTGTTCGATGTTGATTATTTAAAACACGGTCATGCATATTCCAGAAACGAATTGGAAACATAGGTTCTCTTCTTGTGCTACCATGAACTCGACCTGAATAAATAACGTAACAAACAATGCAAAACAATTTTAGTGGGTTTTTGGAGTCTTTATACCTACCAACATATGTATCTTCAATATAATCCAGAATAGGTTGATATAATCATCACCAAATTTTGAACATAATGACTCGAAACCTTCTACTGTTGATTTGGTTCCAGAAATGGTAGCGAGGCAATTTTGTGAATATTGTCGGTGAACTCAATGTCTGTTTCATATCATTGTTTAAAACCATTTGCCTAAATGAATGTATGATAAAGCTGATATTGTTTCAACAGATAAATTATCGTCATGTAGTCTTAATGATTTTAAATAATGAGTTAAACATTCAATAGTTAATTGCTGTTCTTGTTCATT